AATTATGTAGACATCATGGCTGTTCCACTGATTGTATGACGATATCTGTCCCACAATTATGTAGACATCATGGCTGTTCCACTAATTGTCAGATGATACATGTCCCACAATTATGTTGACATCATGGCTGTTCCACTGATTGTCAGATGATGCATGTCCCACAATTATGTTGACATCATGGCTGTTCCACTGATTGTCAAATGATGCATGTCCCATAATTATGTTGACATCATGGCTGTTCCACTGATTGTCAGATGATGCATGTCCCACAATTATGTTGACATCATGGCTGTTCCACTAATTGTCAGATGATACATGTCCCACAATTATGTTGACATCATGGCTGTTCCACTGATTGTATGACGATATCTGTCCCATAATTATGTTGACATCATGGCTGTTCCACAAATTGTCAGATGATGCATGTCCCACAATTATGTTGACATCATGGCTGTTCCACAAATTGTCAGATGATGCATGTCCCACAATTATGTTGACATCATGGCTGTTCCACTGATTGTCAAATGATGCATGTCCCATAATTATGTTGACATCATGGCTGTTCCACTGATTGTCAGATGATGCATGTCCCACAATTATGTTGACATCATAGCTGCTCTACTGATTGTATGATGATATCTGTCCCACAATTATGTTGACATCATAGCTGCTCTACTGATTGTATGACGATATCTGTCCCACAATTATGTAGACATCATGGCTGTTCCACTAATTGTCAGATGATACATGTCCCACAATTATGTTGACATCATGGCTGTTCCACTGATTGTCAGATGATGCATGTCCCACAATTATGTTGACATCATGGCTGTTCCACTGATTGTCAAATGATGCATGTCCCATAATTATGTTGACATCATGGCTGTTCCACTGATTGTCAGATGATGCATGTCCCACAATTATGTTGACATCATGGCTGTTCCACTGATTGTCAAATGATGCATGTCCCATAATTATGTTGACATCATGGCTGTGCCACTAATTGTCAGATGATGCATGTCCCATAATTATGTTGACATCATGGCTGTTCCACTGATTGTCAGATGATGCATGTCCCACAATTATGTTGACATCATGGCTGTTCCACTGATTGTCAGATGATGCATGTCCCACAATTATGTTGACATCATGGCTGTTCCACTGATTGTCAGATGATGCATGTCCCATAATTATGTTGACATCATGGCTGTTCCACTGATTGTCAGATGATGCATGTCCCACAATTATGTTGACATCATAGCTGCTCTACTGATTGTATGAGGATATCTGTCTCCCCATCACAAAGTTCAAAGCTGTGTGGCTCCAACTGTGATCTAATTTGAGTCCAAGTCCAGGTATTTAACACTGTCTGTCAACCTAGGTCTGTTGGTGTCAGTACACACCCGGTGGGGAGATAACCTACAGCAGTATTCTAGCATCTTTATCACTCATTGTCTATTTTTTATGTTTATCTTCTAACAGATACCACCATATCATACAAGTGAGTATCATGAAGTGCAATCAAACTTATGTGTTCCTTAATTAGTTTTGAGCAGTATATTACCCTACAGGAAAATCACCACTATTCCTTCTCCTCTAAAACTGTATTCTAACATATTATACTGAAAGGACTGTTAAGTGCCTGGACTTTCAACAAGAAGACTTACACAAGGATGCAAGCGCAAAGCTAAGCTTAAAGTGCAATGATATACCGGTATCTCGTGCAAGATCTACATATTGCTACCCAAGATATATCAAAGCAAGCTGTAGTTTTTGAGTTTGTATGTGTGTGCTTATGTTTCTTTATGAGTGTGTGTTTATGTGTTTGTATGTATGTTTTTCAGAGATGTATGTATGTATGTATGTGTGTGTGTGTGTGTATGTATGTATGTATGTATGTATGTATGTATGTATGTATGTATGTGTGTGTGTGTGCTGTATGCATGTTTGTATTGATGTGTTTGTTTTGTATGCATGAGTGTTTGTATGTGTTTATGTGTTTGTATGTGTGTGTTTTTATGTTTGTATGTGTGTTTATGTTTTGTAAGTGGTTGTGTTTTGTATGAATGTTCGTGTTTGTACATGTATGTTTTTATGCTTGTATGTGTGTTTAAGTGTTATATATGTGTGTTATGTGTTTGCATGTATATTTTTATGTGTGTTTATGTGTTTTGTATGTGTGTGTTTATGTGTTTGTATGTGTGTGTGTTTTCATGTATTTGCATGTGTTTGTATGTGTGTGTGTTAATGTGTTTGCATGTGTTTGTTTGTATGTGTGTGTTAATGTGTTTGTATGTGTTTGTTTGTATGTGTGTTAATGTGTTTGCATGTGTTTGTTTGTATGTGTGTTAATGTGTTTGCATGTGTTTGTTTGTATGTGTGTTAATGTGTTTGTTTGTATGTGTGTGTTAATGTGTTTTGTATGTGTGTGTGTTTATGTGTTTGTTTGTATGTGTGTGTTAATGTGTTTGTATGTGTTAATGTGTTTGTATGTGTTAATGTGTTTGTATGTGTTTGTTTGTATGTGTGTTAATGTGTTTGCATGTGTTTGTATGTGTGATTTAATGTGTTTGCATGTGTTAATGTGTTTGCATGTGGTTGTTTGTATGTGTGTGTTAATGTGTTTGTATATGTGTGTTAATGTGTTTGTATGTGTTAATGTGTTTGTATGTGTTAATGTGTTTGTATGTGTTAATGTGTTTGTTTGTATGTGTTAATGTGTTTGTATGTGTTAATGTGTTTGTATGTGTTTGTTTGTATGTGTGTTAATGTGTTTGCATGTGTTTGTTTGTATGTGTGTTAATGTGTTTTCATGTGTTAATGTGTTTGTATGTGTTAATGTGTTTGTATGTGTTTGTTTGTATGTGTGTGTTAATGTGTTTGCATGTGTTTGTTTGTATGTGTGATTTAATGTGTTTGCATGTGTTAATGTGTTTGCATGTGTTTGTTTGTATGTGTGTGTTAATGTGTTTGTATGTGTTAATGTGTTTGTATGTGTTAATGTGTTTGTATGTGTTAATGTGTTTGTTTGTATGTGAGTGTTAATGTGTTTGCATGTGTTTGTTTGTATGTGTGATTTAATGTGCTTGCATGTGTTAATGTGTTTGCATGTGTTTGTTTGTATGTGTGTGTGAATGTGTTTGCATGTGTTTGTGTATGTTAATGTGTTTGTATGTGTTTGTTTGTATGTGTGTTAATGTGTTTGCATGTGTTTGTTTGTATGTGTGTTAATGTGTTTGCATGTGTTTGTTTGTATGTGTGTTAATGTGTTTGCATGTGTTTGTTTGTATGTGTGTGTTAATGTGTTTTGTATGTGTGTGTGTTTATGTGTTTGTTTGTATGTGTGTGTTAATGTGTTTGTATGTGTTAATGTGTTTGTATGTGTTAATGTGTTTGTATGTGTTAATGTGTTTGTATGTGTTAATGTGTTTGCATGTGTTTGTTTGTATGTGTGATTTAATGTGTTTGCATGTGTTAATGTGTTTGCATGTGTTTGTTTGTATGTGTGTGTTAATGTGTTTGTATGTGTTAATGTGTTTGTATGTGTTAATGTGTTTGTATGTGTTAATGTGTTTGTTTGTATGTGAGTGTTAATGTGTTTGCATGTGTTTGTTTGTATGTGTGATTTAATGTGCTTGCATGTGTTAATGTGTTTGCATGTGTTTGTTTGTATGTGTGTGTTAATGTGTTTGCATGTGTTTGTGTATGTTAATGTGTTTGTATGTGTTTGTTTGTATGTGTGTTAATGTGTTTGCATGTGTTTGTTTGTATGTGTGTTAATGTGTTTGCATGTGTTTGTTTGTATGTGTGTTAATGTGTTTGCATGTGTTTGTTTGTATGTGTGTGTTAATGTGTTTTGTATGTGTGTGTGTTTATGTGTTTGTTTGTATGTGTGTGTTAATGTGTTTGTATGTGTTAATGTGTTTGTATGTGTTAATGTGTTTGTATGTGTTAATGTGTTTGTATGTGTTAATGTGTTTGTATGTGTTTGTTTGTATGTGTGTGTTAATGTGTTTGCATGTGTTTGTTTGTTTGTGTGATATAATGTGTTTGCATGTGTTAATGTGTTTGCATGTGTTTGTTTGTATGTGTGTGTTAATGTGTTTGTATATGTTAATGTGTTTGTATGTGTTAATGTGTTTGTATGTGTTAATGTGTTTGTATGTGTTAATGTGTTTGTTTGTATGTGTTAATGTGTTTGTATGTGTTAATGTGTTTGTATGTGTTTGTTTGTATGTGTGTGTTAATGTGTTTGCATGTGTTTGTTTGTATGTGTGTTAATGTGTTTGCATGTGTTAATGTGTTTGTATGTGTTAATGTGTTTGTATGTGTGTGTTAATGTGTTTGTATGTGTTTGTTTGTATGTGTGTGTTAATGTGTTTGCATGTGTTTGTTTGTATGTGTGATTTAATGTGTTTGCATGTGTTAATGTGTTTGCATGTGTTTGTTTGTATGTGTGTGTTAATGTGTTTGTATGTGTTAATGTGTTTGTATGTGTTAATGTGTTTGTTTGTATGTGTGTGTTAACGTGTTTGTATGTGTGTGTTAATGTGTTTGTATGTGTGTGTTAATGTGTTTGTATGTGTGTGTTAATGTGTTTGTTTGTATGTGTGTGTTAATGTGTTTGTATGTATGTGTTTGTATGTGTGTGTTAATGTGTTTGTTTGTATGTGTGTGTTAATGTGTTTGTATGTGTTTGTTTGTATGTGTGTGTTAATGTGTTTGTATGTGTGTGTTAATGTGTTTGTATGTGTGTGTTAATGTGTTTGTATGTGTGTGTTAATGTGTTTTGTATGTGTTTGTTTGTATGTGTGTGTTTATTTGTATGTGTGTGTTAATGTGTTTGCATGTGTTTGTGTATGTGTGTGTTAATGTGTTTGCATGTGTTTGTTTGTATGTGTGATTTAATGTGTTTGCATGTGTTAATGTGTTTGCATGTGTTTGTTTTGTATGTTTTGTAATGAGGGCAACCTTGTGAACAATATATGTGAAATACTTACTTGACAGCTGTCCGGGTGTGTTATAGTATATCTGATACAAAAATATAGTGGTTAGTGAGCATAATGAATCATTTAATAAACGTGTTACATGTATAAGTACCAATCTTTCTTCTTCAGACTTGAACATGTGCAAAGTGGTTTAAAGTCACACTCAACAATACTCCAGACATTTGACAGCAGCCAGCAAATAATCAGTTCTGGACAAGACTGTCGGGTGATTGATATTATGAACAATGATGCATGTTGTCCAGGTACGATGACACGCTGTCAACCTAGTCATCAAGTCTGACACCTCGATCCATGTAGTTTCCTCTTATGACCATGATAGGCTGCTGGGGACATTTTCTCACCCATAATACTGCAGACTTAACCAGAGATGCCAACCCTAATTGAAGAATTGGAGTCAGGAAAAAAAAGGAACGCCATGTGAAAAAGAGTAATGTTAACTTGGTGATATGGTTGTCATCTTTGAGAATCTCCTGGTTTTCATTAGACATAGACAAAGTGAAACGTGGGGTAAAAACTCTACACATTCATAAAATTCATCATGTGACAGTAACTTTTCCAGAAAAACAAGGTGTTTTTCTTTAGTTCCAAAGTAAAATCTGTGTACATGCAATCAGTTCCCTGTCTGCACACACAAAGATCGATTGATAAAATGACTTGGGTGAATTTTAACATAACAACCAATCAGAGACCTTGTATCACTGAGTCATGGATATTATGTCATTATGTGAATTGACAGCATGGCTCTCATTGGTCATCAATCTCGCTGTCGAATGCTTCATGTCACCGGTGAAATAACAAGTTGCTCTTTTGTTATATTAAACTCAATCATGAAACAATTACAAAAATCCTAATTTGGGGGAGGACAAGCTTAATTTCAGACTCAGAATCATAACTCTTATGCAAAAGCAGTAATGGTTGGCATCTCTGTTTCATGGGACGTGATATGAGGAAGAGAGGATGATAACCATGGTAACATCCAGGAATGATATTTGTTTCTTTGCCTCAATAGTACCACAGGACAGTTTTGTAAAAAATGTTTCAAAATGTCTGACAAGTCTTTGGATCTGATATAAACTATTAGGGCAAGTCAAGAGCTGTTATTAATGAGACAATAACTTAAACCTTCCACCTAACAATTGAACAAGTCTGAAGAAGAGAGAACAAACTGAGGTTGCATTTTAATGACTATAGCATGTGGGACAATATTTGAAACAGTTCTGAGGTATTTTCCACCTATAGTATTGAGGCATTTGGGGGAAGCGGGAGAATCAGGCTTTAGAATAGGAGACAGGGTAATGGGCCTAAAGAAAAGTACCGGTAAATGAATTTCAAATCTAGCAATTTGGTCAGTACCTGAGATTGCTGTGGGTTCAGATCAGTAATCCCTAAATGATTACCGTATTCGACGTACTCTCAAAATTAGAAATAGGAGGCTCTTACTAGAATATTATTTTGGTGAAAAAAAACATAGTTGAAAGATAAATTTCGTGGTTTATGCTGGCAGCCTGAAATGTTTATGTACGACAGATATATTTTTCCAGAATTTAATTGCCCATAATTAAGTGTGCACATAACACACGTGTGCATATTATACCGAATGAATACGTCTTGTGTACATTGATCAATCGGAAGGGGTGCTAATTGGGCTTGTTCACCTGCCAATATATCAGCAAATATCGCCTAGGGCTCTTATTGGAGCAGGGCGCTTATTACGTCGAATACGGTAAATCACCTTTCTAATGGGACCAGTGTGGGTCCCCAGCTCTGGTTCCTGACACTAGTATCAGGATCCCCACAAGGCTCAGTGTGTCAAGTGACATATCTGTACCTGTACTGTATCATAGAGTACAACTTGTGTTACAGGTGGGAAAAGCATCTCGCAGCTGAATACTCAGAACTTGTTCAAATGTATTATACACAAAACAGTAAAACGTATTACCAGCTACAAATGCATATATGAAGGCACATTGATTCATGACATACTTAAATAGTGTTAATTCTGACTACCAAGCATTTGTAGTGGTTCAAATCACACGGCCAGGTTGAACAATCCCGATTTTACTGCAGACACGTGGTGATGAGGACCCTAAGCTAATCCTCATCCCTGGAGAGGTACTGTTTGTGAAGCACTTCCTTGGTGTGCCAGGCTGTAGAGCGTTACACTGTTAAAAGCATTCACTAATACTCAACATACCAAACACTAGTGAGTGAGTGAGTGAGTGAGTGAGTGGGGTTTTGTGCTGCTATTAACAAACATGAAGCACAGCCAAAGGCACCAAGAAGGGTCTTGACAGTTTGTACCAATCTTGGAAGTCCTCAGAATGAACACTATTTAAGTAATACATTAAAAGCAGTCAGTGTATTCTAAAGTAGATCGTAAGTCCTGCATACTATGCTGCAGTTTTGATGTTTTCTGAAAAATGAAGATTATGAAAAATATCATTTTTAAATAACATATTCATTCTCACATCAAACAAGACGCATATAAGGAGTTACCTAGGTTCAACATATTTTAACCTGCTGTGAACAATATTTGCTTTATGTAGGATGAAAGCCTAACATATTTGCCTAATACACGTACCACTGGTGTAACCATGTACCCTGAGTGTGTTAACACACTAAAGATATTAATAAGGGTCAATCTTGAATTTGAACCACGGCCATCAGATCCTGGCATAAAAAAGGGAGAAAACTCTTCACTGCTAACTGTGGTTCCTTACACTGCTGGCTATAAGTGATGCATGTCTCAAATGTTTACCGCTTTTGTAGGTTTTGGTTTGGTTTGTTGTTTAATGCTACTCAGCAATATTCCAGCTATATGACGGCGGTCTGTAAATAATCAAGTCTGGACCAGACAATCCAGTGATTAATATCATGAGCATCGATCCATGCAATTGGGATCGATGACATGCATCAACCATGTCAGCGAGTCTGACCACCAGATCCCATTAGTCACCTCTTACTACAAGCATAGTCGCCTTTTACAGCAAGCATGGGTTGCTGAGACCTATTCTAACCTGGATCTTCATGGGTCCATCACTTTTGTAAAAACCCACTTGTCAACGTATGGTACTTACAAACCTAGAAACATAATCTTGGCAAACCTGGATTTGAACCCACAATAATAGGTTTCTGTCGTGCCCAAGGGACGCAACTCTGCACAGGCCTTTAGGTTCAGCAGTATCATGACATGCTTCGAGCTAAGTTGTAGGTGTACAAGTCATGTCTAGGACCTGAGTTGAGTTGTTAGAATATCTTGATAAAATATTTTACGGAAATTATTTTATTGTAAATTATATTTAACAAAAAAAAGTTTGCCATTGTGTTGATGCCTCACATTCTTGTTATGAGACAGTGGACTCAGTTCTATAGGTATCTCAAACTTTTAGCACACTGCTTACCTCATCATCATCTGGTGCTGGTGCTAATAAATCTGTATTGCAGTAGTCATGCTCCTGAAATAAGAATGGATACGATGACAAACAATCAACCAAGTCAAAGTCAACAGCCAATACAGACTGTGTGTGTTTATTGTTTAATACCACACTCAGAAATGTTCCAGCTATATGACTGGCCCTGTAAACATTTGATCTAGCCCAGACAATCCAGTGATTGATATTTTGAACAATGGTCCATGCAGTTAGGGAAAGATGACAGGCTATCAACTTTGTCACTGAATCTGACCCCCTGATCCATTTAGTCTCCTCTAACCACCAGTAGAGGTTGCTGGGGAGCCATTCTAACCCGGAATCCCCACAGGGTCAATGGAGACTGAAACCAGTCATGGTAATCATGCAAGATTGGAAATCATGAAAAGATCGGCACTTAAAGGGAGGCTCTGCTGGATGGCCTGGTCCTAATTTTCTGACCAGGGCCTCAGTACTTTAATTATGCCTCATGCGAAACCGAGACACTGTCTAGATGTAGGTAATCACAAACTGTTAGATTGATATACACCAAACTTTTGGCAGTGATAATTAATGTAGAGTAGTGTACATGATCACAGATTCCATCAGTGTTAATGGGAGATAATTTGGAAATATATGACCAGATAGATGAAACAGGAGACTTGATAATTACCTATTTATACCATCTAAGTTTCCATTCTGTGTTAACACTCTGTGTAAACGCTCTGTGTAAACACTCTGTGTAAACACTCTGTGTAAACGCTCTGTGTAAACGCTCTGTGTAAACACTCTGTGTTAACCCTCTGTGTAAACCCTCTGCGTAAACCCTCTGAGTAAACGCTCTGTGTAAACGCTCTGTGTAAACCCTCTGAGTAAACGCTCTGTGTAAACGCTGTGTAAACGCTCTGTGTAAACCCTCTGTGTAAACCCTCTGTGTAAACCCTCTGAGTAAACCCTCTTGATAGACGCTCTGTGTAAACCCTCTGTGTAAACTCTCTTGGTAGACGCTCTGAGTAAACGCTCTGTGTAAACCGTCTGTGTAAACCCTCTGAGTCAACCTCAGCGTAAATCCTGTTGAACCTACCTGGAAGAGGTTGATCCAGTCCTCACACAGACTCTGCACAACCAGGTGGGCAAACTCGTACTGGTCCTGCAACAGAGAGACATACAGAATGTACCAGCACTACAGAGGAAACACAACCTTATCATATACACATAAAAGATTGAATGACATCTCTCTCAATGCAAGTCTTGGTGTAAAAGATCTCACCTGTGATGTGATCATTATTTAATCACACTAAAACATCATGTTATAACATCTGATGTACCAAATGAAAAGACAGATCTCAAGTTAGAATGAAAGTTTCTTACCAGAAATACTTACCAGAATCTTCGGACGAGAAACAAAATGGTGTACCTAAGTAAAACCTTTGTTTGTTCGTTGTTTAACGCAGCACTATTCTAAATCAAATCCATCCCCATCAGTGAGGAGTGAACATTTTACCCACCAGCTCGCTGCCTCACTTACTTACCGGAGTCTGTACCATAGATTGGCGCTGCTGTCGGATGTGTTTGATAACTTCATACAAGCTAAAGCCATGGGATACTTTCTGAAAACAAGAAGATAATGGTAGATTACTACACATATAGCTGCTACCAGTTATCCTTCCAGGGCCTACTTGCACCAAGTGGCCTTAGCGTTATGACTATCGTAACTCTCGTACCATAACATAGACTTATGATAGTCGTAGTGCTACGACTGCTTTGTGCAAGTGGGCCGAGGTGATGATTATTTCCTTGCTATATTTTAACTCTTATTCCGGAAGAATGCTTACATTTTGATCCAACATTGTCCAGGCATAGTCGACAGCACATATAGTCCCGGTCCGTCCACAGCCAGCACTGAAACATATCACAGCTCCAGATAAGCTACTAATTGCATATAACATTGAAATAAAATCACCAATGCCTAAATACTTTTAAGTTGCTTGCATACTAATACACAACAGCATAACAACACTGTGTATCATACCTTATCATACCTCCATGTCAGAATGATGAGATCTGATTGGTCCACATGATCTTGATAAAATACTGTACAACCTGCCTTGGAGGGTAATAAATTTCTCAGCAGGGGAATAAATCTCTTATACCCCCCCACAAGCAATACAGGCTGCATGTGGATTTCTGAGAGAAAGAATAAATCCCTTATACCTCGCTTCAAAGCAAAAAGCCACACTCTTGTTCTGAGTTAATGGAAGTCATGTGACACAGCACAAGTTCATTTCACTATTTCACACAGCATTTCACTATTATTGAATTCTCAAAGTATTTATATCAAATTAAACATATCCTAAACAATGTGTGGTACCTGCAGTGTATGACGATGGGTATCTCAAGCAACCGTCTCGCCTCCCTCATCTTGCCCACCATCTTGTAGATCTCGCGACTGTGGTGCGGTACCCCATGGTCTGGCCACCCTGTGTAGTGGAACTGCTTCACGACATGCTTCTCACCACCGCAGTTCACACGCAGGATACGCTCCACAAAGTCGGGAAACAGCACCTTTTCAGACTCCTGAAAAAGCACGGTAGACAAACGGTTGCTTAGCTTTAAGTGAGTGAGGGAGTAAGTTGGGCTTAATGCTGCTTTAAACAGTATTCCGCTTACCTTTAAGTACCAAAATAGCAACGTAATGATGAATGCTGCTTACAAAAGTATTTCATTTTAAAGCTATGTCAGTTTAAAGCTGAAGGGACAAAAGTCATAAACGTGTACGAATTATTTCGAAAAATAAGACCCAGATAACCCATCATCATCATCATCCTCATCATCATCCTCATCACCATCATCAATATAATGTAGCTCATACAATTAAGATACTAACCACAGTGACTTCCAGTTGCCCAAACATTTTGGCCTCGCCCTCCGTATCCCAGTAGCGCTCACATTTTGGCTGCAAACAGACATGCCAATACAATATCATATGTATTCCGGTACATCTATTCAACTTAATCAGAAATCAAAATGTAACCCATCTACTGGGATCATTGATGGGCAAATGAAAGGGAATTATACCCACATAGCATAACAGCTCATAATAAAGGTGGTCTTAAGTGTTGAACCATGCCCCAATATTAAACCAACAGCTGATATCAAGACCGCCTGCCCTAAGATTCTTCTCCACAGCCATCAGAGGATGTGGAGAATGAGCTGAGCATTTCAATACCAGCCTGGATAATGAGGCGTAAAAGCATTAATGTCGCTTCATGCAATACTGTGTTGACAAACCAGTGATGGATAGTTTGAACAACGATATGTGCTGTAAAACCCATGGCCCTGGGTCCAACTGTAATTACAAGACAGGGACTTATTGAGACAAGGGCCCAATTGCACAAAGCAATCTTAGCACTAAGATCCCACACTTTAACATAGGCTTACAATACCGTATTCGACGTAATAAGCGCCCAGTGCGCTCTAAAAATTAGAAATGGGGGGCGCTTAATAGAATATTATTTTAGTGGAAAAAAACAGAGTTGAAAGATAAATTTCGTGGTTTATTCTGACGGCCTTCAATTTTGCATTACATTTTTTTTCAATTTGCCTACCAAGACTCATTATAAATTGCTGAAGCCATGATATATCTGTATCAGTTGAGTTGGTTCCTGGGGTGTCAACTCACAGAGTGCTTAGTCCCGCAGTGTCTGTGTAGAGGGAGGATGAATACTGATATCATAGTCACACCGGCAGCCTTCAGTTCATTATATCAGTCTATGATTAGTTAGATAAATATTTCCTCAACTTGCGTAAAAACCTAGTTACATATGAACTTACAGTCAACTGTTTTCATAACATTCTTACCCTTCTTGTCCTGGCGGACAAGTTTCACGTTTATATTATTATATACATTTGGCCCATTTGTTTATTATTAAGGAACATGATGGGTGTCCAACCCTGGCTGTGCAATCACAAATTATTTGTCTGGTGTCAATTTCCTGCTATCCCACTACAGGACAAACAAGAAAAATACACCAGGATCTATCAGTCATACAATAATATTTTGGTGAAAAACAACAGTTGAAAGATCGTAAATTTCGTGGTTTCTGCTGACAGCCTGAAATGTTTATATACGGCAGATATATTTCCAGAATTTAATTGCCCATAATTAAGGATGCATATAACCATGATAACACACGTATTATAAATAAGTCTTGGGTACATTGATCTATCGGAAGGGGTGCAAATTGGAACTGTTCACTAGCCAATATATTAACAAATATCGCAGCGGGTGCTTATTAGAGCGGGACGCTTATTATGTCGAATACAGTATGTCAAGTGTATATTTGAATACAATGACATATTGCATTATCTCTATCAAAAGTTCAGATTTATACATTCCTTAAACTAAATTAAAGCGACTAACCCTTTCCATATTCATAAGAAAATGTACAATTCCGACTACCGTATTCGGCGTAATAAGCGCCCTGCCCTAATAAGCGCCCACAGCAATACTGGCCAGTGAACAATCCTAATTAGCACCCCTTCCGATTTATCAATGTACACAAGGCTTATATATTGGCGTATAATACGCACTCGTGTGTTATATGCACACTTAATTATGGGCAATTAAATTCTGGAAAAATATATCTGTCATACATAAACATTTCAGGCTGTCAGCACAAACCATGAAATTTATCTTTTAACTCTGTTTTTTTTTCACCAAAAAAATAATATTCTAATAAGAGCCCCCTATTTCTAATTTTGAGAGCGCCCTGGGCTCTTATTATGTTGAATACAGTATATCATGATTATCAAGTGATGACACCAGGTGCCAAAAAAGGTGAGCGAGCATACCCTGCTCAACTGGCGGCACCCATTACAAACACATGCAAACACTAAATGCTAAAATGTAACATAAGTCTCAGGGTTGCAGTTTGAACAAATGGTCAGTCAAAAACATGATAGATTACATTATGTAAACCTATGTTCATTTCTGTAGGGTTGTAATGTTGCACTTCATTGCGATGCGTATCTTGTTAGAATGGTTGTAATACAATACACCATAACTCACATGAAACTTGATGCTTGACATGTCAAGGAAACATTTCCATCACGAAAAGGAACAAATAGTAAACAACTGAAACCTTTAGGTCAATTTGAGTCACGTTATACAACAGTGTCTGGAAGCCTTTTGCACTTGGTACGGAAGTTGCATTTTGTAAATCATGTTCATACCTTTTACGTCCCTTACCAGATATCGCCATCGGTTCAAGTTTTGGGTAACTAGTGAGTGAGTATGGTTTGATATCACTTTTAGCAATATTCAAGGCAGGGAACACCAGAAATGGGTTTCAAACATTGTGCCCATGTGGGAAACAAACCCAGGCCCCTGGCGTGACAAACGAACGCTACGCCACCGCCCCTTTGGCGCCTAGAAGGAGGGGGTATAAATGGGATACATCCCATACACAAGGTAGAGGATCTCACATATTTTTCTAGTTGTTTCAGGATCCACTGACGGTGAGCATTCAGTGGAGGATAACAGCCCGGCATGTGTGTTGACCAGCCGGATGCACTTCGGTACAAGTGGGTTTCTCGGAATGTTGTTTTATGCATGAGTCGGCAATATTCAACTTGTTCACAATAGCCTTGGATTTGACTAGCCAGTCTGAGGCTAGTAAAAGGACTAGTCAGGACTACTTGTATTCTTTCCAAATTTAGTGATCTTACAATCAGTCTGAAATGTTTAGATTGAAATAAATAGACTTGCTGTAAGAAATTGACTTAGGTCAAGCATGTTTACTTGAAATACTAAGATGCTAGCAGATGATAAAGAAAACTTATTTGTTCTTCATTGAAATGCTTAATTGTTATTTTTGTTAAAAACAAATCACCAACTGATTTAGATCTGTACATGTTTTACACATGATTTTGTAATGAGTTTGGGTGTGTGAGGGGCTGCACAGTCCCTCTGGGGATCCACTTATTAAACTGGGGACACATTCTAGTCTGCCTGAGCCCAGCTATCATACAGGCCACCATCGGACATAACTGGATTATTGCTTTCCCTGGCAACTGACACTTATTCAGTGACTATCTCGGCAAGAAACTACAAACAGTCATTGTTATATGTACCGCTTCAATTATACATTGAGTGTGTGCCAAGAGGATGTTTCCTGAAGAATGAATATTGTCAATCAATTGTCAGTATAAGTTGGATGGTATATTTTTATCAGAAAGTACCCATTTACTTCTTCCTTTTCACAGAAACCTCCTCGTACTTCAGCCCATACAGGTTCAAAATACTTCCTGTCAACATTGGATTCAAATACATAATTTACAAAAGAAATATGTCCTTGTTCAACATTCGGTCAGATTATGGATACAGTATAATTAACAAATCAGCCTAGACCCTCACTGAACACAGTTTACACGACAGAAGCGGGTTCAGAGTTAGTCTAAGGGGTGGGGTGGTTGGGTTGGACACAGTTTACACGACAGAGGCGGGTTCAGAGTTAGTCTAACAGGTGGGGTGGTTGGGTTGGACACAGTTTACACAACAGAGGTGGGTTCAGAGTTAGTCTAAGGGGTGGGGTGGTTGGGTTGGACACAGTTTACACGACAGAGGCGGGTTCAGAGTTAGTCTAAGGGGTGGGGTGGTTGGGTTGGACACAGTTTACACAACAGAGGCGGGTTCAGAGTTAGTCTAAGGAGTGGGGTGGTTGGGTTGGACACAGTTTACACAACAGAGGCGGGTTCAGAGTTAGTCTAAGGGGTGGGGTGGTTGGGTTGGACACAGTTTACAAAACAGAGGCGGGTTCAGAGTTAGTCTAACAGGTGGGGTGGTTGGGTTGGACACAGTTTACACAACAGAGGCGGGTTCAGAGTTAGTCTAACAGGTGGGGTGGTTGGGTTGGACACAGTTTACACGACAGAAGCGGGTTCAGAGTTAGTCTAAGGAGTGGGGTGGTTGGGTTTGTGGAGCTGGGTGTTGTGGGAAGATTGTTGTGTTTTTAATTATAGGGAGGGAGATTTCAAAAGAAAGAAGTTAGTTTTTGTCTTTGGGGACCCCATGAATGAAAGGTAAGGCATATTCCAAGCCACACTGTTCTTACAAATATTTAAGAATTGACGTTCATTTTGTGTGAGTACATTGAAGTATGAACCTTCATAATGTACACCTCGAAGGATGTAAACACACAAATTCGTTTGGTACGCTTGACTTCATGTTTTTACACTGACATCCTGCTGTATCGCGGGAAAATAGTTCATCAAAACAAGAGATGGCAAGAGCTTTATGTGTATATTTTGTGGTTTAGTAACAACAAATAGATCGAAAAAAATATGATAATTTAATGGATGAGAAATGTCTGTCAAACACAACAGTCTGAGGCATCTAAGATGACAGGGCAACCTGTGCCCTGAATTCTATTGGGATCATCTACATACAAACAAGAGTTTGCCACTAACATGGCTATATCCCCAGCCCCTGTTGCAGAATTTATGACATAATTAAATATAAACAAACCCTAACCTTTTTCAACCAAGGTGGAACTTGTCATGGAAATTGTAAAAAAAAGAAGAGTTTGGAACCTAAGTCCATCTTGTTGCCATGGAAACGTAAAAAACGTAAATTTCTAAAATTTCTAAATAGCAAAAGGCACCAGTTCAGCATATACCTGACAGACCTGCAAAGTTTGATGAAAAAATATTGAACGGTTTTTGAGTTATGCTCTGGAAACGAACCCTACCTTCACCGAACCTAAGTCTATCTTGCTGCCATGGAAACATAAAAAATAAAAATTTCTAAATAGCAAAAGGCACCAGTTCAGCATGTACTTGACAGACCTGCAAAGTTTCATGAAAAAATATTGAACGGTTTTTGAGTTATGCTCTGGAAATAAAACGTGACGGACGGACGGAGCTCGTTTCTATATGCCCTGCCAACTTTGTTGGGCGGGGGATAACAGAGTGGTGATATGTATACTCATCACGACTCCTTGTTCTTCTCCACAATGGGAACGGTACTCTGGATTAACTGGGTTTCTCTTTACATAAACACACAAGGTATGTGAATTAGGGAGGTCTCTCTCTATTGATATGTATGACTTTGTAGGAGGTATCCTTAGCAAGAGGTGAGTAGCACAGGTCTGTACGCCTACCCTTCCTGATTCCTCTTCCCGACACACCATGAACACGATCTCCACCTTGTACTCCCACAACATACGCCAGAAGTCATTGACAGTGTGTGGGAGCGGGCCCTGGGAAGCGATGTAGCCATTCTTCCCGTTAACATCCTGCAGAGGAAAATACACAAGAAGGTGTCATATTTATTGATATGATACTGGTGGACCTACATTATTGAGTGGTGATGTCAAAATGCCCCACTTGTAGTACGGCCAGTGGTGATTTCATAATGCCCCTATCTGTAGTATGGCCACCAGTGATATCAAAATTGCCCCTATCTGTAGTATGGCCAGAGGTGATGTCATAATGCCCCAATCTGTCGTATGACCAGTGGTGATGTCATAATGCCCTACCTGTAGTACAGCCAGTGGTGATGTCATAATGCCCTACCTGTAGTATGACCAGTGGTGATGCCATAATGCCCTACTTGTAGTATGGTCAGTGGTGATGTCATAATGCCCTACCTGTAGTATATGGTCAGTGGTGATGTCATAATGCCCCTACTGTAGTATGGCCAGTGGTGATATCAAAATTGCCCCTATCTGTAGTATGGCCAGAGGTGACGTCATAATGCCCCTATCTGTCATAGGGTCAGTGGTGATGTCATAATGCCCCTATCTGTTGTATGGCCAGTGGTGATGTCATAATGCCCTGCCTGTAGTACGGCCAGAGGTGATGTCATAATGCCTCACCTGTAGTAGGCCAGTGGTGATGTCATAATGTCTCACCTGTAGTATGGCCAGTGGTTATGACATATTGCCCCTACCTTTATGAAGCTGGCATTGATGTAGTCAGATCCTTCTGCTCCATCTTGCTTTGACAGAACAACACGGTGGTAGTCATCTGAATATATAAAATTATTTGTCAACCTGCAACATCCACTTTCTGGTAGGTTGATTGCTGAAAGTTTTGATTTATTGAGAGAGGAGAGAGGTCAACTCTCATAGTATGGGGGACAATCCAATGTGATACAGGTCGCAGGCGTTAAACACTTTGGAGAACAATGAGGAGGACACACCAAGAATCATAATCAGGTTGAATCTGGGATTCCAACTTACATTCAGCAGATCCTGGCAATGCTAAGGGACACTATTATTGATTGTGAATTGAGGTGACTTGCTCCCATGCCCCCTGTCCCCCTCAACCTCGAGGTCCTAATTGGCTCCACATGCTTCCCATGCTCCTTGACCCTTCATTGCTCCATAGATCATAATTGGCTTAACAAACCCAGAGGCCTGATTGGCCCTGCACATCCTGTCCCCTCACTGCCTCCCTATGCCACCTGGACCCTCATAGACTCCACACACCCTGGACCCTCATTGGCCCACACACCCTGGACCCTCATAGGCTCCGCACACCCTGGACCCTCATAGGCTCCGCACACCCTGGACCCTCATAGGCTCCACACACCCTGGACCCTCATAGGCTCCACATTGCCAGTGGCCTTCATGGGCTCCCTTTCCACTTGACACTCATCATACCCCCATACCCCATGCCCCCATTCCCTATGCCCCCATACCCCATACTATATGCCCCCATACCATATGCCCCCACACTATATGCCCACACACCCCATGCCCCCATACTATATGCCCCCATACCCCATACTATATGCCCCCATACCATGCCCCCACACCCCATACTATATGCCCACACACCCCATGCCCCCATACTATATGCCCCCATACCCCATACTATATGACCCCATACTATATGCCCCCATACCATGCCCCCACACCCCATACTATATGCCCACACCCCCCATTCTATATGCCCCCATGCCCCATACTATATGCCCCCATACCCCATACTATATGCCCCCATACCCCATACAATATGCTCCCATACCCCATACTATATGCCCCCAAACCCCATACTATATGACCCCATACTATATACCCCCATACCCCATGCCCGCATACTAACATGACTATATGATCCCATACCCTATGCCCTATACTTTATGACCCCATACCCCATGCCCCCATACTATATGACCCCATACCCCCATACCCCATACTATATGCCCCCATACCCCATACTATATGACCCCATACCCCATACTATATACCCCCATACCCCATACCCTATGCCCCATACTATATGCCCCCATACCCAATACCCTATGCCCCATACTATATGCCCCCATACCCCATGCCCCCATACTATATGACCCCATACCCCATACTATATGCCCCCATACCCCATACTATATGCCCACACACCCCATGCCCCCATACTATATGCCCCCATACCCCATACTATATGCCCCCATACCCCAGGCCCCCATATCCCATACTATATGCCCCCATACCCCATACTATATGCCCCCATACCCCATATCCCATAATATATGCCCCCATACCCCATGCCCCCATATCCCATACTATATGCCCCCATACCCTATGCCCCCATACCCTATGCCCCCATATCCCATACTATATGCCCCCATACCCCATGCCCTATGCCCCATGCCCCCATATCCCATACTATATGCCCCCATACCCCATACTATATGCCCCCATACCCCATGCCCCCATATCCCATAGTATATGCCCCCATACCCCATGCTCCATGCCCCCATATCCCATACTATATGCCCCCATACCCTATGCCCCCATACCCCATGCCCCATACCCCCATACCCTATGCCCCCATACCCCATACTATATGCCCCCATACCCCATGCCCCCATACCCCATACAATATGCCCCCATACCCCATGCCCCATGCCCCCATACCCTATGCCCCCTGTGCAGTGGTCGTGCTGCAACTTACATGGCAGGATGTCTTTGTATCGGTTCTTCTTGATGTTGCATTCCTTCTTTCCCTCCTCAGACGGATATTTATTCTCACTCTTGTTGGCGATCTGGATCTCCCTCAACTCCTACAACATAATAGGGGTAACACTTTACGACTTTGTGACAACATCTAATTTCAAGCAAATTTGACTTAAAATGTGTTCATGTGTTTCAGACCCTGACATGAAAGTAAAATGTTATAACTTTCATGGATACAAGTGTGGTGAGAAAATAAACTTATTTAAATATTAAATACTGGTCCCAATCCTCCGCATGATGCCTTGGATTCATTTTATGTGGCTGTGCCATATTTCGTTATTGAGTCCTGATCCCCGTGCAGATCCCAGTGAGAATTGGTCTTCGGGGGCGACTTATGGGATCAGGTGGTCAGGCTTGCTGACTGCAATCGCTGGATTGTATGGTTCAGATACAATGTCTGTTCAGTGTTAAACAACAGATAAACACACAAAACGAAAAACCCTTATGCCTTGCTAAAGGCATGCCCGACTTATCTTTATAAGTAGATTCTTAATAATTCTATTTCTATGAAACTAGTGTCAACCTTGAAATGAATATCTTCTTCCATATTTCTGACTGCCATATACTGATATAAGGGATGAATTAATGTCAAATTAAGAAAGTTTCTGAATTTGAAGTAAGAAAAAGAATACACATTGTGAATTATAATTGTAAAAAAGAGAAGCCCTAATAATTATCATGATTATGGTGTAACTAAATCCACAAAAGCAGCCACGGGAATAACACAGTGTACCTGGGTGAATGAATTAAATAATGAGTAAGGTCTGAATATTTCAAGAATAATATATACAAGCGGGGATACAGGTTTTTGGAATAGAAAAGCACGTATTGTTGTGACAGTTTGCACAAATGTATAAATATTTATTCAAAAAGGGTGTGTGTGCACACCTGCACCTACTGTATTTTCTTATTGACTCGTTATAAGTTATTTTCCAAAACTTTTCATGTTTTTAATCAAGGTGCTCACGTGATTTGATGCACTTTGCGATGTAAGACCCATTTTCTCACAATAGAGATCTTGATTTTCGATCAGATTGTCTTGACTGTGCACCGCCATTTTGTTTGAAGCAAATGCAAGTGATACGAGAGGTGAAATCTGATTGGTCCATAGGAGAGGAAGAGAAGGGTCATAACTCGTAATAGCCACTGGTGGCGCTACAGTCGAGCTTAGGAATTCCAGCCTAGTTTGGCAAGGGTGGAAACTGGACTTTTAAAGTCACTTGCCTCGGGAAGATGCCCCCTCCAGTGGATTCAGTATTTAAAAAAAAAAAAAATTGAATATAATGCGCAGAAAAAATTTCCACCACACCCCTTCAGCAAATTCCGGTAAACAAACGGGTGATAAGAAACTAGGTCGGTACAAATTTGAAATTTGAGATAAAAAATCAGCAGACATGTTGATTTACTGTTTAAATTGTATTTTTTGTTCTGCTAGGCATTGTTTTACATCTAGGGATTAAGATTACCTTGTGTATTTTCTCGTAAAAGTTGGCAATGGTTGGCAGTGTCGCGGTCCGATTTCCTACGTTGCCCAACGTTGTGACCACATCAGGTAGCATTTCGGAAATTATTTTCAAGGGGTGCTACTCTTAATTGACAGCTTCTCATAGTGGGCGCTGTGCTTTTTGCGCCTCTCTAATAACAGACGACGCGATACAAGCACATGCTCGATCATCGCAGTACTGTTCTCCTCGAATATATAGAGGTAAGTGTTTAATTAATGTCTTATAATAATGTCCAAACAGTACCGGAGAAAAAACAACCCTAGTTCATTCAGAAATATAAACACAAGTAATTATTTTCCAGAAATTGAAAACACCACATTCACAAACTTCATGACCGAAGCCGAACAGGAATATGTCACTCTGATCGCTTGCAAAATATAGCATACTAGCATCCCCCCAAAATCGAGCTTGTCCGTATCATAAAGTTTGTCGTCATCATGAGGACAAGTTAGTGCAAAGTAATGTGCACCGTATCGCATAAGGTGCCTAAAAAAATACTGACTGTGGTATTTGTAAATGAATACTGGTGTTTCTATTCTCGCGTATGGTTGAAAATAAAAAGCAAACTCAACTGAAAAGGTCAACTTCATTTTCGCTTGTGGCAATTTTACGGTAAAAAATATCAACCAAACTGAACAATTCAGAATGAGGCTTTCTAAAACTCGAAGCATTTTGTGTACATGATATAATAATACTATGCAGACTCCTACTGATCGATGTAAGGAGCTTTTTACTGTTGTCGGCAACATCACGAGTTCAGTTTTCGATCACCAATCAGTGGCCGTAGGATTGTGTTTTTTGTTTTTTGATAGGAATTGATGATGGCATAGTCGCATATTTATTTGTGTAAAATTAGGAATTATTAACTACTGCGGGGAGTTATGGTTAAAACTAAGTGTACATACTGGACTAGATTTGGTACGAAATATTCATGAAATCATTTCCGACTGAGAATATTTACAGAGCTGTTTCAACTTGACCTGGTGTTGTCTAAAATATTGCATTTTGTTACTTTTCCCATGAAATCATTTCCGACTGAGAATATTTACAGAGCTGTTTCAACTTGATCTGGTGTTGTCTAAAATATTGCATTTTGTTACTTTTCCCAATGTTACTCTCTTTGTAAATGTTAGAACACAATAAATACTAATATGGAAAATATTAATGTTAGTTTAAAAAAAAAATTAAATAGAATCTAATCATGATTTTAATTAAATACCCCAAAGTGTTAACACTTCTATTACCATGATTACTTATTGGAAGGTCAATTCATAATCATATACAACATTCATGCTTCCAACATGGGAACTATTTATTTTATTTGGCATTAATATTTTACTTGAATCACAGTAGTTTATGCAGTAGAGCAGGAAGGTAAAGTTACTGCTCTTGAATAATTACAGTCAATTTCTCTTGGCTGATAAAACTATTTGCCAATATTAAAACTAGTGACATCATACCGTCAGAAAACGAGATTTATCTCCACTGGTTTATCTGAGAATGTGATACTTTGAGGTTTCAGTTTTACTTCAGATGGAGTTAACAGTATTGTGGAATCATATTTGTTTAAGTACATCACAGGCAGAAAGGTATGCATGATGCAATAATATATACAAACATCTTCAATAATAAAAATATAGATGATTCTTATTTAATCTTACCCCCAATCTAACAGGGCAGGTTGATAAAGTTATACCAAGGATATCCGTCTGTCCTTCCAAGGACATTTTTGTGCGTGAGTGCAGTGTCAAGTTTGATTTTGATATTTTCTGAAAAAATATGATTCTATACATGTTTTTAACTTCGAATATTTATTTTTTTATTTCAACCTTTGTGCGACCTATAACTTGGAACACTACTTCATGGATTCTTTTGCAATTGGCGGCACAGTTTCTATACCCATAGGAGAAGTGCAGTGCAAAGTTTGATTTCGATTACCGGTAGTGTATTTTCTGAGAAAATATAGGTTTTTTTTCATGTTTTGAACTTAGAATGTTCTTTAGTTCAACATGTGCAACCTTTAACTTGAGAACTGCTGCATGGATTCTTTCCAAATTTATGGAACACTTTCTATACTAATAGGAGAGGTGCAGTGCAAAGGTTGATTTTGATATGTGTATTTTCTCATAAACATATATATGATAAAATATGACTTTTTTACATGTTTTGAACTTAGAATTATTTTCTTCAACAATTGTGCGACCTATAACCTGAAAACAAATTGATAGATTCTTTTCCAAATTCGAGTATAGTTTCTATACCAATAGGAGAAGTTCAGTGCAAAGTTTGACTTTGATAAGTGTATTTTCTGAGAAAACAATGGGTTTTTATGTTTTGAACTCATTTAGCTATGTTCATTTCAGTGTTAAAGCTTTTCCACCTATGTATGATCCGAGAGCATCATGGTACATGTATTACTGTCCACGCCACCTTTCCAGTTTTCGCAGTATTTAACAGTTTAATATGTCCCTTGCCTTGTCGTTTTATTATATTTTTGTCATTGCTTTATTCAGTTACCAAGACACAAAGAGCGACCATGGATAAGGTTGAAGATCATCCCTGTGATCAGTTCGTCTGATCTCTTCATTTGAGGACTGAAAAGGCTCCTCAGCCACTCAGCCCAAGTTCTGACTTGTCATTTGACAAACAAATAAAGGTCACCTCAACCAGAATTCTATTGTTGCTGTCATCATATTTTTTAATGGATTAAGGAAATGGATCATAGGAATTTGATGCATAGACTATGTTGTTTGTTTCAGTGTTGCCCTCAATGCTGAATGTATGGGGTAAGGCCAAGAATAATTAAATGTTTCAATTTGTGCCGGGCTTATTGTCTGATGGTTTTTAATTTGCAAACTCGTGGGAAAATCAAGTATCTTTCAATAGTGTTGAAACATTTGTGAACAATCTCCACATAGTCTTGAAAATTGCTTTGGAAAATAAATATTATATGACTGAATTGTACATGTAATTAAAAACATTTTGAATTTTTTCTTGGCTGTATTTCAAACGATGTATGCCGAGGTACCCTGCCAAAAGAGAGCGCATTTATTTCATTGACAGGCTCTTTCATGGATAGAGTTCAGAGTGAATTCAGCTTGCAGAATGTATTGCTTGTTACCTGACGTCTTAACTAGATTGGTACAAACATTTCAGGCTGCCTTGGAGGTACTGAAGAATACAATCTCATTAAAATCAGATCTTAGTTCTCACCATCGCTAAACAAAGATCTGAGGACATCCCATTAAGGGTCACGTCAGAACGACCTTTCATCTTACCAATCAAAGCGTTGCTTACCAGATCATAAAAGTGATTGTGCAACCTCGAAAACGTTAACATGGTGTATTCCAAACGACAGTAATGGCCCGTACGACTGATTCTGTCCAAATTATCGTCTATCTCTTGCTTCCATGGGATAAACATTTGAACGGAGGAAGTGTTGCACAGTACGTGGGAAGCACTGTCATACAATCTCAACCATATAATAGGCATTCAGGAATGTTCATTTGTTCAGTTTTCAAAATTTTAATCATGAACTGTGT